CAACATTTTTATTTATTAATGTTAAATCCCATAAGTAAACTTCTTTGCAATACATACTAAATATATAATCAAAGGGATGACATAGAAAAATTTGAAGTATTATTTCAAAGTTCTACAGTCCAAATTATTATTAACACATTAGAATAGTGAACAGACATAGCAAATGGTATGAGAGTAATGCCTACTAAATTGGATGAATATTGACGATTTATACTATGTTTGCAATTATGTGACAGTTAATTTGTTATAACAGTCCTTTGTTAATATTATTAATAATCTTGAGTTCACAACTGTATAGTTATATATGTTACATATACAATATACTTATATATTAGTACCTATATTGATTAAACATCTTTTACCCCTTTTAATGATTACTATAAACCCTTCAACTATCAGACTTCTCAGAAGATCATTATTTGATAAGGTGGCATGCTGATTCACAATTGTCAATTAATTAATTCATAACCTTTTACATTTTATGAAGCATTATTATATATTATGTTTTACGTATTTTGCAGTATGCACTGCACTTGTTTTTTTGTGAACTAATACCTTTATATAATTCATGTATAAAACATAAACTCATATATTTATTCATTCAGTATTAGTGCTTATTTATGCTGGAAGATTTAATTGAAAGAGGTACTATAGATAGAAAAGAAACATAATTCCTTGTTTAACATCCTTTTCTAGAGACATTGATTTTTGAAAATAAAAATCTCTTTTCTCATCGAAAACAATAATACGAGTTCTTTATATTCTGTCTACTAGTTATAAATATAAATAGTGTTTAGGAACTCATTATAGTAAGGAAAAATATAAATATGTTTTTAAAAAACAAAAGATTACAAAACAGTAAATTAAAAATAATAAAATAGAATTTTACAAACTAACTTACAGAGTACAAAATAATATATTGAGTACATAACAGAATGGCATTTCGTACTAACTTTAATAAAAGTAGTTAATTTGAATCATTCACTTTTACGCTATAGAATCTTTTATACTTCGTTTTTTAATCTTTGAAGATGTAGGATCATTCCAGGATTGAACTTCAGCTTTACCAAATACAATAAAAACTAAATTTCCTATGAAATAAATAACAGCAGAAATATAAAATACTATTGACCAATACGTTTTGTTCTCCTGAAAAAATAAATGACATATTATAAATATAAGTATTTACATAGTTACTGTAAAATTGTTTTGATTATACTTACATTATCAAGAACAATAACTCCACAAATTAGTGGAGCAATTATTGCTATTACGGATGCAATGCAATTTGTAATGGACATCATTGTTCCGGCAAAATTAGGACTTAGATCAATGTGATTTATTTGAAATCCACAAAGAGCTCCAGCATTTAATCCTACAGCTATTGCAAGAATAGCTACAACCACACCACTACTCTCTATAGGTATTGCAGCAAGACAAATCAAAGCTATTGCTGGTCCCCAGTGTGCAACAGAGTTGCACACTTTTCTAACTATTCCTCTTGCAACACCTTTTTGCAGTGCATAATCAGATAGCCAGCTCATTGGAAAACTTAAGATCCACATTGTCAAGTATGGTAGTGCTGACATTACTCCATTCTGTAAAAAAAAATGTTTAAGAAACAACAATATAAATATCCTAAATCTATCATTAACAATAACTGTAGGAATCAGTTATTATTAATATGATTATAATTATAACTTGATATAGGTTTGTTAAATATACCGATATAAAATAATAATTTTAAATGACTATGCAGATTCAATTATTTTGTGTATTTGATGTCAGAAATAACTCTAAGATTCAAATATAATATAGCTTATGTAAAATCTAACATAAGAGAGTTATTATTCCAGTTTAGAATTGAAACACAGCTAGTCCAACATTTATTTCATTTATCAAATATTACTGTGTACTGCCAAAATTATGGTCAGAACAATTTTCAAAATATTTTCAAGTTATGTTTTTTTGAATTTTTTGCGGAAGATAGATGTTTTATCTTATTTTTCTATCTGTTAGTTTTTAATTTTGTGGAATTAAATGCTGACATTTCTATTAAATATTGTATTTCGATCAATTTATCTACGAGTGTAATATCTACAGTGCAGCTCCCATGTCTACAGCCGCGACCACCGAGTTAAAAATGCACAGGGGCAAGGGAAACCGGCCGCACACTTCAACAGGGTCTTTTCAGGAAACACAGTAGCCAAGTCTCCGTGTAAGTAAGCATCTCTATGTAGTGTTTAATATAAATAGGTAAAAGTAAATAGGTATGGAGAAGGTAACTCACAGCGAGGTGGAGGTCACTATGGAGCTCGCGAGCTCCCAGTTCGACAGTCCTGCATTATATTTAAGTAACATTTAAGGGGATATGCAATTGTGTAATCCTAAAGAACATGTGTGATCTTAACATTTTTTTAACCTCTGTATATATAATTGATAAGAAGCAAAAATTTCAATAAAGAATATTAAATAATGTCTTAGTTGCACATTCATACTTTCTTTATTCAATAAAATTGTAAAACAAAGTTTTTCAGCATTGTTTGAATTAAGTAAAATTAATTATCCAGTAGAATTTTATTAGTTTACTATCAAAGGAGATTGAAATGTAAAAAATAAAACGTTTTTGTGACTACTTAAACAAAAATAGATTATCTTCCAGTATCAATTTTTTAATTTAGAAAAATTTCAAAAATATTTTTATGTATACCTTGGGGGCTAAAACCGGTGGGTGTATGTATAAGTAGAATTGATCAGACTTTTGACTTTGACAACATAAGGTCAATGAAATCTGTGAACTGTGTCCTTTGTAATATATGTGTAATACTAACCATAACCGTCTTTCTTGAAATAACTTTAAATTCCGATAGAAGTATTACTTCAATTTTTGATTTTTCATTACAACATTAGAAAATGTTAATTTTTGTGAAATTAAAAAGCACCGTATAGTACTCCATTAAAAAAGGTCATTAATCCTAATATTACATATTAGGGTAAATAAAGATTATTGTTTAGAAAATACTCTATATTAACATTCATTTTTATTTAAATTTATAAAAGTGACAGTTTCAAATTCTTCAGAAGGCCGTAACTTAAAGTGTCAGAATGATAAATAAATGAAATCTGAAGTACAGGTCAGTACTTCGTAAAGTATTCGGTAACAGACTGACTCTAAAAACTATCTTGAAATTGCATATTTCAGACAGCTTTTCCATTGAAAGTTCTTAAGATGCCTCTCTATTATCACGGTTTAAAATCGCCGCGACATTCGAGAATTCTTTTAAAAAAATCTGCCAAATTTATCGAGAGAATCTGTGAAGGTTAATATTAAATTAAAAATTAAAATCGAAACTACAAGATCGTTGTACTTAATTTCTATTATATTTTGTTCTGTATAATATAAATAATTTTGAATTTTGATTTATTATTCGATGTGGTAAGTAACACACATTATTTTGAAAAGTTAGTTCCCCTTTTCGTTTCTTTCACTTCACTATACGGTTTTGCATCAGACTGGCACAACAGATAATGTACTATGATATGATTTAGAAATATGATCCTTTGTGCAGGGGTGCTATATTATTCTATACCGACTCCCATACTTCATCAATTTTTTCGTTTTATAACTTATCAAATCTTCCGCGTGTAATCTTGTATGTCTAACTGAATATAGATCAGTGGTTATATCGTTTGCTGTTTACGTAAGAATGGTTTAGAATAGTTCTTATAATGATATTTTTTTAATGTATTATTTGAAAAAGGTATATGATTGTTTCATAAACAACTAGTTTATTGTTAGTTCTAACAAATGTTTTGGAAGTATTTACGAGTATATTTTGGTTTGATCTTCTGTTATTTACTGCTATAACTTTTAGGGTACTCGGATGGAAAATGATCAGTTTTGTTTTCAATTTCGTTATACAGTTTTTCCAAGTTAATTTTGTGTTCGTTTAATTGAGCGTGATATTACCTAACATAAGTTTTTCTGTCTGGAGGAGACAATAATTTCTGATTTAATTTAAGAAAATGTTTAATCTGAGGAGCATTAATAGTGCGTACATAGGTTATTTTGTACAAGTTTTGTACAATTGAACACCGTTGTAGGCTTTAATATCAACAAGAGTTTATTTAATGAAATAATTAACAAATAAAACAAGCATCTAATGTACGTCCGCCGAAAACTCCGTTGTCCTACGTTATCTTATTCTCACTTATGCTCTCTTCGCTGATCCTATCATACTAGTTTGCCGTTCAGTTTCCATTCACTTTTAAAGTTCACCCCCAATTACTCTTTCTTTCTTCCACATGCATCCTCTTTTCACTTGCATCCTGTTCCTTGCATCCACAACCAGCATTCACTCGATCACGTATACACTTTCTCAATCACGTTACTCCCACGGTCCAGTTGCTTGGTTTTAAACATTCTTTCCTTGTACATTTTCATCCACTCAAAGTCATCAATGTCTTCAGTCACGCTTTCCCCAAACATACCGGCGCCACCCTATCCCAACATGACACCAGCCACACGTCTAACCAGTCGTCCATTTTTCTTTCGCGTATGATGATCAAGTCATCGACAAAGGGAAGGCTTTAATTGGTGAGCTTAGTAACAATATGATTTCGTTAGTTACTATTAAGAAAAGAGTAATGTTGAAGACTGAACCTTGCGGAACCATACTGAATTTTTGCAATAGTATTGTGCGGCACAGTATCGTTAGTTCATGTTTTAGATTTTTTGCAAAGATTAGTACGCTGCCCCGGAAGCTGAAAGATGTTTGTTAGTTCAGTATAACATGGAATGGAGGTGCTTGAAGCTGCTTAGGTGAAGGAATAATGATTTACTTACTGTGAGGGTCCAGCAAAGTCGATGGTTGATGAGTTTTTTCATTATCTTACATATTTCGTTATCTTTCGTTATCTTACACTATTGAATTTTTACTGGGTTTAACGATGAGGACGAACGTAGCATTCTTCAGGTTTCTAGCAACATCCTTCTACTTTCCCAAATATAGTTGTGAAGTTTGAACAAGTATTGTCGCTTTTCAGTGGATTGTTACAGATTCCATCAGGGCTCACCTCACCTTCAAAAGGCGAGTTAATATAACTTCAAGATCTTTACTATTTCTTTTTCGCTAATTCACCTTTAATAGGCTCTTGATTTGGAAAGTTTTATAAGTTAGGGATTCCATATTGTAGTTAGAGTTGTTTGAGTATTTACGAAGAGGTCAGCTAATAAGTTTGTAATTGTATTGGGATTAGCGGTGACTCATTCTTTATGAATGGAATTACATTGTTTTGATAACACAAAGTTAAGTCAAGACTGTTTAGCTTTTTTTAAAATATTTTTTTCGATTCAGTTCTCAATTTGTTTAATAAGATGAGATTTTTGTATGTCTTGTCTCGATGGTTTTTTTATAGCGGTCAATAAATTCTGCTTTACCAAGATACTGCGTAATTCTTTAATATTATCTGGATGTTAGATTTATATTGAATTCGAATTTCTTGGATACGATACTTGTTCTCGCACTGCTCGTAGCCAGTTGAAGAGTTGTTACCCTTGGAATATGGTTTCAGTTTGTTAGTTAAGTGTGCGAATTAATCTGGTGCGAAATCAGGGAGTCTCAGGATGATATCATTTCGTGGATGAATTGATCCATTAGATTGGAAAAATCTTTCTTTGGAATGTGACTTCTCGCGGATGAACCTGATGCGAAACAAGGAAGTCGGTAGAATTGTTAGTAGGCCTCGTAACACTATAATTATAATTAGCTGATACTATCCGAGTGGTAAGATTGTATCGTGTGGGAACGTTCAATCACTGCAATAGGTAAAGTAAAGTGTAGTACTAAATTCTAACGTTTACCGGATAACTCAGTTATATTCTGAATCACTGTGAATTACAAAAGTATTGAGTGCCGCGGGCTGAATTTAAACGGATTGTACGAATAATTTAATTACTCGCCTAACGAGAGACTGACATGTGGTTTTTTTTCTTTTAAATTTAAAACTTCGATGCATAATTCAGTTTCTTATGAGAAGAAATGGTAGAAGTTTCAAATTAGTTTTAGAGTTAATAGAATTAGAGTTAATAGAAAATTGTCGACCATTAAGGGATAATATTTAAGTTGCTCGGTGTTAACGCACCAGCAATGCGGGATCTAGGAGTGATCGTCACGACTACCGAACAGAATTTTACCGGACTTGCGGAGTCTATAAGCTTAATTTTGATTCGAAAAGGAACTTTAACCCGATCTCACTGGAATAAACTCGTATGAAACGTGACTGACGCGACTTCACGGGTGCCTGTACGATTCTGAACCGACATGTGTGAAAATTAACGAGTTATATACAGGGTAAATCACGCAACGTGGCGATTCTAAATAAATTGTAAAATATGTTGTGTTCAGGTCACGTTCATTTTTTGTTTTTAATGGAATGCCTATATTTTGTTTTCAAATTCTGATGAAGCATCAAATTCTGAATAAAAAATCATTATACTATGTAGTAGTATACAACTTTGTTTACGACGGCAGGTAATGTTGTTAAACACTATCCTAGGCATTAGACGTGAAATATCAGAAAGTTATATAAAAACTGTTTTATTCTTCTTGTTCTACGACTTTCTGAAAACTATTTTTTTAATACCACACTTGCCTTAGTTGTTGCAATTAATATCTGAAAGCCTTCCGTAAAACTAGTAGTGTTGACCTAAAGAAACCTGTGAAACCTGATACCGTTACACACGAAATACATCCAAGGTATATTACAATCATGCAAGTGGTACTAACATATCGGGCATGATATGGATATTTTGTGCAAAACAATTTCGTATGTTTCATTTACAGTTACTCGCGAAAATCGTCCAACCATTGCGTCTACAATTTTTAAAGTATAAAATTTCCGGGATGGATTTACATGCAGAAAGTAATCGTGTAATAGATGAAAGACTAAAATCATAAGAATATCTGAATAGAATTAGAAGAAAATCTGACAATTTATATACTAATAACAAAGTAGGAGGTATAAACATAACTTTTATGGGGTTCACAAAATTCTTACAACTTATAGAACAACGGAGCGTAAATTCAGCATCTGATATAATCGTAACATTTTAGTCTATGTTAAAACATAATTTAAAGTACAAGTGTTTCACAATGAATAGTAATTTTGTGAATTTCTGAAATGTAGCTACTGGACGGATCAAAACAAGTAAGAGTGGTTGTGTGTTAATAGTATTTCATAAAGAAGGAAAATCATGCGAGGAAATTATGGAAGCTTTAAATATTATATTATGGAAGCAAAGAAGCTATATATCAGCTGATTAAGAACTTTATTTTTTAAGGGAATATTGTAAATAAAGCTCATACAGGATGCTTGAAGAAATTGACTTCTGAGGAGGAGAAGCTTATTGTACGTGAAATAAAACAAACCCACGCATTTCTGTTCCAGAGTTTGCCAAGATGGTTGTTAGTAGTTTTAAGAAGGATGTACAGCGCAATGCAGCTGCAGCTTTTTCTTTTATAAGAAGACATATAAATAATAAAGGAATAAAAATATGTAGGTAACACAAATATCTAAGTAAAGTAAGCTAACACATTTACATGAAGAAATTGACTAGTTGCGGCTTCATTACGTTGCAAAGAGGTAATCGTTGGCATTGAGAATCACTGCCAGTACCTCAGGCTTCGCGTAACTATTTTCATTTATAACTTGCAGCCGAAATGCGTCTCGGAACTTTTTTCAATAGATTCCGCAAAGTAGATGTCTGCAGCTCAAAAGTGAAGGGGATTCGGCCGCGCGCTCCACCTCAGCTTGCGGCTCGGCCAGTAACAAAGACGTGCCGAAACTAATTCCGCCATTACTATCAGGCCGAACGCCATGAGTGGACGTCTCTCCTTGCCCCTCTTCACTTTTAAGCCACAGGCCGGCTGGGATCATGTCAGTAACGCACTGTACTCGCGGCACTTGACCCGGTAGTTATGGCGGCTCAGTTTCGGCATGTCTTTATTATAGGCCGAGCCGCGTGCCGATGTGGAGCGTGCGGTTGATTTTCCTTGCCCCTGTGTACTTTTAACCCTAAGGCCGGCGGAACTAACGCGAGGGGTGAATAGTACCGCCCGTTGCAGCGAACCTGTCATTTTTGTCCGAGTGGTCAAATTCGAAGGTGCATACCTTGCTCACACGAATTTTCCGGCACATAATTCGCTGAGGCGTTCATATACACTAATCGGGTCGCGCGACAAAGACCGGGGAGAGCCGTTTACGGACTTACAATTGGATTTTTCGGAGCGACTGTTTCTGTCCCTATGACGTCACGAGTGCCAGGTTTGCTACAACGGACTACATATTTAATACAATTTTTATATAATTAATTCAAAACTGTAATGTAGTATAGAATAATATCAATTTTGGTTCAAAAGTGAAGAGGAGCAAGGGGACTCTTCCACTCGCTACACTTGGACCTCGGCATGTGCCAATAACGACCATGCATCCGAAAGCCGAGCGTTGTGAGTGGAAGAGTCCCCTTGCCCCTCTTCGTCATTGAATCGAAAGTTGGCGTGACTAATGTGGGACCTCCACAGTAAGTAGCTATTATATACAGTCACGCCAGACAGGCATACATAGCTATAAGTGATAGAATGCACTGGTGCCCATATTATGTGTATTTATGCTTGAATTGTATGAATTTGAGAACGAAAAAATGTCAACTAGCTGGGTAGCTGGTCAATTAGTTAATCAAAGCAATTACCCGATCGGCCGATTTTTCTACTAACCTTATGTTAAGTTATTGTGTTTTTAGTGGACCAATTTAAACTTACTTATGCCGTTAAAGTAATTGGTTCCTTTTTCAAAGTTTTTAATGTCATCCATTTCATTTTCTCAATAAATAAACTTATGTATTTTTTTATGTTCATTTTTTAACAGATGTCCAGATGGATTTGGCAAGTACAATAAAATGAAGATTTTTTTTTCATTTGAAGTGAAAGAACTATAATACTATAAAACTATATACTATGTAACGACGTATTAAAAAAATGAAAGTTTTGGTAATAAGGAATACACAATTCAGTTGAAATAAAGAGAAAGTAGACTTTTTAGTTAAACTGATCTTGACATCCATTAAAAGTCGTGAATAAGATTAACATCTTACAGATCACTGTGAATCATATTTACGACGTCAAAGATTTATAGTTGGCCCAGTAAAACAGTAGATTATAATCATGGTGTCTGATTGCATTTTAATTATTAAATTTAGGTTATGTTAGAAGTATTAAAGTGCTGTTAGAAAAATAAAGGTATCAAGCTACATATAGACGAAACATCAAGTAGTATGAAGAATTTCCAAAACTGAATCGCATATGGACATATATACTAGGTTTGATATTTAGACGACTACGTTTCCAAAAAGTATCTCTATTATTTAGAATGAATTTGTAATTACCTGTGCTATATCGTATTTTAAAACTCCCTTCATGTATGATGGCATTTCGGTGATCAGAGTCCAGTATCCCCAGTTTTGACCACAATGGACGATTATGAGAGCCCACATTGGTACTGAAGTGAATATTGCTTTCCATGGCAGACTCTTCGTCTAATAACAGAATAACCATAGTGATAAATATTATCGTCAATTAAGCAATTTAATCTAATGCATATATTAACTTGGCTCAATATTAGTGACGATAAATCAGCGCTTTAATGTATAAAAAACAAGACTTACAAAAGTTTCTATCAATCTATTAACGAATATTTAACATAGTGTAAATATATACTATCTGTCGTTTTACCATACAGATTAAAATTTTTAGTAAATTACCGTTGTATTATTTAATTGACATATTTCTTTGCTATTATATGCAGAGTGTTTCATCAAACCGGAATTTTCCAGCTAATGTTGTGAATGGCTATTTTGATAACGAATTATAATCCGAAGGCGACAAATCATGATTAATTAGACGAGTTTATCTAAAATAATCCAATTTTACAAACATGTAGAGTAATATCTTTCGATTGTTGTCCGTTAAAGGTTCGTATTTTATATTTCTCTTAATTTTAACACTTAATCTGTGGATGGTTAATTTTTGTGATTCGTAGAAATTTAATAGTGTTTCACTAATTGTAAGATACTTATAGTTTCTTCAACCTACATTGAATGATTTAAATTTTTGCTCACCTTATTTGTAGAATTCGTATATTTAAAAATATAAACGAAAGATCCTAACAATTTTTAAAAAAGTAAACGTATATTTTTATAATTTTTGTTATGCTATGAAAATATAAAGTTGTACAATGACATAAAGGGAATCTTTAATAGTTTATGAACGAATGGTACTTTTCAAAATAGGTACCCTAGAGAGATGTTTCAATTTTTCTGCTATCATAATTTATTGTAATGTATGTTTTCGTACATATCCTGAAAGTACTGAAGGGTGATCATTTCTTACTGTACGTCTTCTTTAAATACTACAAGGACCAACTTCCTGTTGATCGATTTCGCTGATTTGATCGGTTATTCATTGTCGTCTTAGTTACGTTATTATACTTATTATCATTAAGATATGTTATGATACCTTATCTTGTTCCGTGTATGGAACACATCCCACACACGTGCCGGGTATCATTGGAAAACCCGGTTTTGAAGAATGCTAAACTAGTTTTGAATACTTATTAAGGATTTTCTCAGTAAATAATATTTGCTTTTTCAATACAGATTTGAGCATAATAAATCGGCAGCCACTTTACGATCTCCTTTTCTTCTGTATAATTGCTTTAACAGCTTTCTACATTGATTTTTTGAACCAACTATGTCTTTCTGTTTGTCTTTTCTACGTCCAAACCATTTTATTTAAAAATTAAGCAACATTATGAGTATGACTGTATCTTGCTCCGAAATGTTGCATCGAAATTAATTGAGCGATATCATTATTTTTTTACGATTGATGTTCTAAAGCAGCAACTATTGTTCGCCTCTCATATTATGGCCGCCAGCTTGCGGCTTAAAAGTGCATTAGGGTAAGGGGAGACGTGGTGCTCGGCCCGATAGTTATGGTGACTTAGTTTCAGCACGTCTTTGTTACTGGTCGAGCCGCGGGACGAAGAAGTCTGACGACCAATAACAAAAACGTACCGAAGCTGAGCCGCCATAACTATCGGGCCGAACGCTGCGAGTGGACGTCTCCTCCTGCCCCTTTTTACTTTTGAGCCACAGATCGGCTTGGTTCACGTGACTGATTCAGTTATGCTGCTTGGAAATCCCAATGACAGAAACACGCTCGTTTAAATTGAGCATAATGTGTACAATAGAACCTCGATTAACAAAGTTACTATTTTCCGTAAATTTACATTTTTCAGAGTCTTGGTTAGGTCGTAATTTAATATTTCAAATTTTTTGGTGGTATCTTGAAATATAATCGTTCATATTTTAGGCGTATATTTTATAAAATATGAATTAAGTCAAGTCTCCGTTCATCTCGACTGTTTTACTGAATTTGTTGATAAACTAACAAAATGAAATTTTCCGTGTAACATGACAAACTCTGAGAGAATCACGTCATCGTGAACATATTTCTTGTATTTTTTGTATTGACTTCTACTAAGTCTTGCACGTGTATTTAGGCATATAAATGTGATTGAGCAAATTTGTGATAACGTTTTGAACGATATATAATGAGACACCTAGAAAGTTTAAAATAAATACCTCTGACGGAAATAGTTTATCATAATTTAATATCTTAAATTATTACTTTGAATGTAAACACCGTACTGTATCCTGTCCATAGAGTATGAAAACAATATTTTTTCTAAACTGCATGCATTGCAGTTCCCTTTGTGTTTCAAATATATTTCTCTTGTTCTTGTTATAAATTAATTGCTTGAAAACTATATCTCAATCTCATTATACATTCTTTTTGTTTCCCTAACGCATACTTAAAAAATGAAAGGAATTTCTACAGCTGGGTATATTTTTATATATTTCACCCAGCGTTGCTTCTCAATATATTAACTTATTAAGAATACTTTTAACATCTTTGAGTATAACGTGTAAAAGATATGCCCTCTATCATGCGACAAAGACGTATCTAAACCAATTTTTATCAGAAAAGAATTGGATTTTAATAATATTGAATTATTTTGGAGGAGTTTCTGAACTTCTCTCTGTATCATGTAAAGATAAATAACAGTATTTTAATAATAATCAGTTGCCTTGGCTGATATCTTGATCATCTATAGCATAGAAAATGAAGTACAAGTTTATAAGATAAATTATTATGTCAATGGCCTGTATAAGGAAAGTGATAAGACGTTCGCTTTAAACGACTCTTATCGATTCAATAACGAAATTTTTTATTTTTCAATCTGTGTCATGTTTCAGTAAACTTTTAGGTTAGCTACATATTTTTAGAAAATCAAGGAGAAAATGTCATTAAGGCAAGAAGGCAAAACAAAAGTGACACCGATAAAAAACTATTCAAACTCTATCCAATTTAGAACGATTTTATGTACAGTTCGCCTCTTTTGAGCTGAGCTTCGATCTCGTGGCGAAGTGGCTAGGAGGGCAAGGGGAGACGTCCATTCACCGCCCTCGGCCCGATTGTTATAGGCGGCTTAGTTTCAGCACGTCCTTGTTATTGGCGATAAAAAACGTAAGTGAGCGGAATGCGGCGAAGTGAGATGTGAGCCATTGTAGAATCATAGCAGAACCTATTGTACCCCATTATTACAGATATAGCTTTAGTCTAAAGAATATATAAAATCTACAAAATCATATAACTTCGAAGTAATATTTATTATTATTGCAAGTTTCGTATGGCCAAAAGAATATTTATTATTTCGTGGTACCATACTCGATAACAAGGAAATTTATTTAAATATGAAAAGTTAGAAGCCAATGAACCGCTTCAACAAAGAAGTCTTAAAAAATTAAAAAAGTGCAATTAATCAATTTGGTCAATGAGTAGCTCATGTATGTTTTCTAGGACCTATTATTCGCCTTTCATGTTACAATCGCTGGCCTGTGGCTTAAAAGTATACAGGGGCAAGGGGTGATGTTCATTCACGGCGCTCGACTCGATAGTTATGGTGACTTGAGCACGTCTTTTTTTACTGGCCGCGCCGCGGGACGAAGAAATCAGACGGCTAATAGAAAAAACGTGCCGAAACTGAGCCGCTATAACTATCGGACCGAACGCTACGAGTAGGCGTCTCCCCTTTCCCCTGTACACTTTTAACCCTTTGCACTCAATAGGCGCCTCTCAGTCCTCACTCGATTTGGTACAGCAAAATTATGAAGTATAATACGTAATGTCAAGTTCCGTAAGATACATTAATATGTGAAATATTAAAATGAAACAGCCTCTTTCTTTAATTTTTGTACGATTTCTCGTTAAATTAGTCTCATGAAATGTCGACTATATTTCGTCAGAAGGTGTGTTGGGTATTTTTGGTAGAAATATCTTGGAGTCTAAAGGGTTAAGCCGCGTACCGGCGGCCGTAACGCGAGCGGCGATTAGTAGATGGAGTATACGATCAATTCCTTTTGTCCTCTACCCACTTAGCTCAAAGATCGAGGCTTAGCTCAAAAGAAGCGAATGTACACTGGTTTCCTCTCCATTTAACTATCACTGCCAGTAAGTCTATTCTCCTTAACTATTTCATTTATTTATGCCAACATTCGATAAACGATTTAGGGAGATTTTCATGCTTTCGATGAGAATCTGAAAACGACTTTTGTTTCCATTACAGTAAGCTTTGGAAAGACAATTTTGAAAAAAGTAAATTTTTCTACTTTGAAAATTATTTACGCATTAATTGTAAAAGCATAACAAAGATGTTTCATGTAAATAATTCTACAACTTCTCCCTAAGAAAATGAGAACGTAGATTCATTGATTCAATACAGTGTGCTTCAAATGAAGTGCCATAAACTCTTTCGATATAATATTTACTTCTTTCTACAGTCGAACCTATATAGATAAGTTGAATATCAAGGGGATGCAAGAAAATGAGTTCGAGTTATAAAAGTTCCGACTGTATTAGATGAGGTATGGATGGTTTGGTTGCCAACAAATTTGTTTTAATCCTTGCTAAGAGAAATCGTCTTACTTTTATAAACGGAATTCGTCGATGTAAATAACATTTACTTGAAGCCCTTTTTTATTCTAAGTAGTTAGAATCGTGACGATAAATTAAATTCAATTTTAGGTACGGTTAGAAACAACAATGTATTCGCAACTATTTTGAATCTATTTATGAATATTAACAATGAGTAATAAGATTTTAATAGCAAGAATTTCTTATAATATTGATATAATGTTGACAGTAATTTCTTATAATATTGATATAATGTTGACATTAATTTCTTATAGTATTAGTATTATCATTAATAATAATATTAATTACATTGTTCAGAAGGCAATTGTATTACTTTGTGATTCTAATATTTCTTGTATATGTAGCACGCTCTGTTTGCATCATATAAATGGAATCTAGAAATACGAGAACTCTGTCCGCGTGGAAAATTCTTGTAAGGCCAGTATCTTATATTGAATTATGCATTATGTAATGGGTAGTTAACGTCAGACGGAAAACTAATAAACACAATAATTTTTTCCTTATATTGAACTGAGCTTACTCAGTTCTATTGTTATTATTATTATATTATTATTATATTTATATTATCATATTTTCTATTGTTATTATCTTACTCAGTGATATTATTGAAGTTTTTGTATTGATTGAATTCCGTGTGTTTCTTTTTTTAAATTGCACATTAGCAATTATATATGTATCTATTAATTAACAGCAATTTTCACTTTAAATGTGTGTACTGTTACGGTGTAAATTCAGCGTTGCAAATGTCAAGAAAAAAACGACTACATAAAAGTGCTCCAGGACAGGGCAGTACTTTCCAATTTCTAGACTGGGCACTATTTATTTATTTGGTTTTGTTTATTTATTATTATATAATCATATTAAAGCCTGATAATCGTAAGAAATTTAGAATTTTGCTGCAGGCATGTACGTTTGAAAATCATTTTTTCAGTTTGTTAAAAATACGAATAGACATAATAAACAGATATACAAGGTTGTTTGTATAAAATTTGTTATCTGTGTGATGCTTTAACGCATGATAAAGTAAAGAAGGCTTTCCCTCATTTTATGGTACGATTGTAAATCGTTTTCATCATTTTTATATTATTAATAGAAATAAAGGAGAAATATTTACATTGCATTTGTTTTCTTTAGATTTTAATCTTAAGACATTATGTCGAAATCGTAAAAATGAAATTTCGAGAACATGTACAGATTTTCTATAGTCTTTCTCGGAAAATAGTTTTCTTTGTCTATATCATCGTAATAAATTGTGGATTACACTATGACGTAACCTACCTCCCACAACAATCATGAGATTAATTACTACGATTGCTTAGTATGTATCACAGAGACACTGTATTATGTAAACGGAGTCTACTAAACAAATCGATGGATCACATACCTATTTCAGAAATGGAATTTATGTCTTTAGAACACTTTCAATGATAGGCATTCTCTTCGTCAACTACATTTTTCCTGCGATGATCAGGTTTATAAATCCGGTTTGCTTCGTTATTCATTATATGCGTTACAAAAACTATTATTGCCAAGTGAAACATACCAGAAAATAAATAATTTAACATAAGATTAAACACATTATATGTATGTTGCAGGAAGTAAGAATAAATATGTTTCCAGTTGAAATTATGTTTAAATTATATTTGTTTGTAATGTTGTCCGTCGTGAATGAAGTTTCATGGGTGAAGAACATTTTCAAACATTTTCGCAGCAGGTGTACGATCTGTCAATCTTACGTCTATATTTTTTTCATAAGCCAGAATGTTACATAGTTACGCGACGATATCAATCAATCTCGTGATTATTAATCCGAGCAGGTAGCGTTGCAGCAATTAAGAGCTGACTATGATGCTATTCGAAGAAACTCCTTTTATGCAAGAAAATATTTTTAAAAGTGTAAATGTAGTCATTCAAAATTGTACCCAGAAATTAGTAAAATGCTTTTGCAATACATTCTTTCATGAACTGTACATTGTAAAAATATATACTGAGTTCTGTTGGAGATGAAAATTGTAAAATTGTAGACCTGAATATCTCATACTGGTTAAACAAATTTAAAGCAGCCAAAGTGTAACTTCCTCCTCACAAATTCTACAGAACCTATTCTATGTTTTAATTTAATAAATATCCTTAAGATCCACTCATAGCAGTGTAAGGTGATATGTACTTATCATAAAATAGCCCATACATTAGAAGAAGATAATAAATTCCATTATAAATATTACATTGTAATATTTGTGATATTCTCAAATGCGAAATATAAGAAAGAAGAAAACAAAATTTTTACCGTATTGTCAGGTGATGCATCCTCTTTGTCAGAAGTTCCTGAACTGTCTTCTATGTGTTGCATTTCCATATTTGATATTCGTGGATGTACGGACGGGCTATCATAACCAAATATGAAGTACGTAATACTCCAAACCATGGCTAAAGCTCCGAAGAAATAAAATATAGACGGCCAACCTGCAGCTGACCCTCCTAATAGCCCAGAAATTGGAAAGGATATCACAGTACCGAATTGTCCTCCGGCGTAGGCAAACGCACCTGAAATAAATCACACATAACTAGCTTTAACCCAGAGTAATTAAATAACATGTAGATATTCTTATATAAAAATTTAAGAATATCTTCATTACTTTAAAAATAACACGAATTGCGAATAAACGTGTATGAGTTATCGATACGTTTGTTTGACCTTTAGATTAATAAGGAAAAAATAGGTCTTATATAGGGTGGTTAACCTATTAGAAATTTCTAATTTCTCTTCGTCGAGTTTCTTTTTATAATTGCTAAAAGTGCCTTCAGTCTGATTTCTACAACGTATTTGTTTTTCAGATAGTCCTAACAAAAAGCCAAGAGGTGTTATCCAAGTAAGTTCCACTAAAACTACCCAGACGAGTCAAAATGACGACCCATTCCTGAGATTTGTAATTATTAAAAAGATAACAGATGTTTCTCTAAAAAATGACTAAAGATATTGATTTAGCAATTTGTAAACTGAGTTAGAAATCAATTAAAGTTTCAATAAATGCACTCTTGGAGTTTTTGTAGAGGAATTTCAGAAAGTCAATTCAACTGCTCGGTAGTTTAGTATTAAAACTGGAACGTATCGGTTCCGAGTGAAACAGTGATGGGGAACTGAAATAAAATCGTAACTGTTATTAGGTAGATCGGTTTCTATATCGGTTCCGAAGAACCGAAACCGATATAGCTCAGAATCGATAGACCTAATAAGAATTATAACTCTATTTTGGTTCTCCATGACTGTTTCAAGAAATCAATCCCGGTTATAACTAATCTGGAGCAATGCGGGTGTATATATCGGTGTGTCATTTTGCCGATACTATTTCGAATTCAGTTGTTTTTGTAAGGAAACAGCACGAATGGAATCAAACAATAGAAATGTTTGAAAACGTATTTGCTTGTTGATATTTCTTCTCAATTGTGGATTTTCCAGTGACACGTGTGCTTCTTATACTTGTTGTGTAACTTAGACAAAACATAAAATATGCAATTATTTGGAATCATAGTCTTCTTGCTGATTTTAATGACCTTGAGATATGTTCTTGGAGGAATGATTCTGAAGAACTTTTCCTTGTATCTATATATCACTGCTCGTTCGGCCTTAGTTATCGAGATGTACGTAAAAATATTTGTAACATTATTTTTGCGTACTTTTCTGAAATTAACAATAAGCCCGAATTATGCCTATAAAGTAGAGCTGAAGTTTACAACAATTGTTGATGTTTATTTGAAAGTAAATTATTCAGAATAATATTCTTGACAACATATTTCAAGATCATTGAAACCGGTGAGGTAACCACAATTCCGAATAATTACCATAAAATATCTTTGACTTTTTAAAGATCGTACTCAAACACTATTTTGCGCAAAACATTGTGGAAAATCGATCTAAAGTAAAAAGAAATAAATGATTCTATTCTCCTATATAATTGTTTTGTATGATTATTTATTCTGCTTGATACATCACTATACATCATCAGTTAGCAAAGACTAAAACGAACAATTTAAGCGTGATGCCAAATTTTAATATTTCATAACTTTTTAATCATTCACGACCGATAAATATTTTAACCCTCTATAGTTTAAGGAACGTATTAATCGATAAGTTGTAAATTAAACAAAAACTCTGATTTTGTCTCTGTTGGTTCTCATCTTGTTTTAATACCTACCTTCAGTTATTTACAAAAGTTTTAGAATCAGTGTGGCTATGATTTTCAAAGTATAAAATTCACACGGTATATTCACATGTATAAAGTAATAATGTAACAAAAGACGAGTCTCAAGAATATACGAATAAAGTTAGAAGAAAATTTAACGTACATAAATTGTCATATTATTAGATGTAGGGTAGACCAAGGCGAATCGGATGGAAATAGGAATATTGGCCATATTTGTTATATTGTTATAGAAATGAGCATGCTGACTAAAGAAGAAAGAAATGATAAGGAAGGAAAATCATACAGGGAAAATTCCGGTATCCATAAATAGAAGCAAGTAAACTGTACAAGGTTTCTGAAAAATATATGTCACGATCACCACAGCGCAGCGTGTTTCTACACCTTTCATATGATGGAGAAGGATGTGTGAAAGTGTTCGCAAAATTCGTTTTGACTTTCAGAAAAAAAAAGATTAAAATTTGTTATTGCTGCATCGTGTTTTACTCATTGCGAAAGTAAATAGTTTGAAAGAAATCAGGGGTCAGAAATGAATAGTTTGCTTACAAATTGTCGTTGAAGTTCCCATTGGAGAGTAAAGAACCGCGATATTCAGGATCCTTTTCTGTTAGATGATGGATCACTGGACTCGACTCCAGATGACTTCGTCTCGTGTCAAACTGCGTCCCATTTTGTCATTTTGCACTATAGCAAAACACAATCATTGCATTCGCTATCTCGACTGACCGATACTCGAGTATACAATTTTTGTGAGCGCTTGTACACATCCTTCTCCATTAAATAAAAGATGTAGAGTCACACTGCGCTGTGATAGTTGTCGCATATATTTTTAAAACACCCTATATGTTACGTGATTAAGAGGTTAAAAAATGAAGGGAATATTGTAAATAAAGTTCATACTATCATTTAGAAAGAATGTACCGTCCGGCTTAGAAGTGTCATTTTCATTTATTTATTTTTTCCAGGGTAGGGGTGCAGCCCCCGCCTGTAAAAAAACCAGCCCATTAATACCAATCCCTATTATCTAAATAATGTTCGAGTACACATATTATAAGTGACAACTTAAATAAAGATGGAAAGAAATTTTTAGCGTAATGCGAAATTGTAATGCTTCGTAACTTTTAAACCAACACTCACTGACAAAAACTGTAAAGGCCTGAGTATTCAGAACAATGGCCTTAACAATATGTGTCAAGATAAAGATCATACGTGGGTTACTCTTTTTATAAATAAGTACGAAAACTCCTCATTTCCGGACATATTTTTGTGAATATCTGGAAAACTTGGCCGAGCGGCGATAATTTGTATAGGAAACAGTTGTTCAGAATGATAACCTTGAAAACATATTTCAAGGTTATCTAATTCGGTGAGGAATGTTGTACATGATTACCGACTATTAATAAGGACATTAACACGTTCATTACCAGCGTTTGTTTCAGTGACGATCCTCTCAATTATAATATTTTATTCAATTCAATAAATCTTCTAAACAAACTATGAAAAAAATGAAGCTAAAACGAGTCATCGAATCCCTAAATGTAATTTCGTAGCTTATAACTTTAATTAACTATGTGTATATCTATAGGATTCATTTCATTTTCTTTACATAAAATATAGGATTGCAGCCATCAAAAATATGTGAGACTGATAGCGAACGTGTTAACCATAGATTTGTGCTTGCAGATTGTTATTTGGAAATGATGGAATTTACCCTACGGCTAAAGTAATTATGCAGCGCAGGTGTAGTTTGATCTTATTAGTAACCTTACTTGTGTGTCTGCAATAAAGTAGGTAAAATATTGTCAATGTGAAAGAGGACTAATAATTATTGGTTTTTAGAATGTAATGACACTCTACCATGGATATTTATAGCATATCTTACCGAATCGTGATCTCTCATTTGGGTTTGTCCATTTCGAAAGAAGGGTATGTGTACAAGGTAAAAGACAACTCTGACAGAGACCCATGCATACCCTACAGGCACAGACAGCCATCAAACCTCCGTATTTTGCAGCGATAGGTGTTAAAATATTCAAGGCACCGCAAATCAACATGCCAAAACTCAATAGTTTTTGTGCGCTCCAAATCCTCGCAATGTAGCCACTTGGTATTTGCATAACCGTGTATCCCCAAAAGAAGGCACTCAGGATGGTCGATTGTTCATTGCTGTTCCAATTATACACCTATTGAGAATAATAGTGAATTTTATAAAGAACTATAACGATTGATGAAACGAATATTTTCTAATCGGCACGAGCTTCACAAAAGTAACACTTTTATAATAGTTTCTTAATATTAACACCTTATCTACGAAAGACGCCAACTTGGCGTCAAATCAAATTATAACCTTTTCGACAAGATGTTAGTATATGTACAAATTATTTAATAGTAATAAATCTAAAGATGGCTTCAGCCGAAATGTTGTACATTACACATTCATATGGGAAATTTTAAACGACGAGGAAAGACACTAAGAGGGATTGTGTAGTAAGTTCAAAGAGTTAATGAAAAGTTAGAAAATATGAAAGCAGCAACTACTGTGACATTTTTCCTAATAAATCGTAAAATGCATATAGGAGATTGCTTTTATAAATATTATGATAGCATTAAAAAATGAATTGTTAAGAATAATTAAAGTAACGAATATATAACAAAATTTAATATATAATCACTTATAGATGTTTTTGGTTGATGTAATAAGATTTTGCGGTGTCAATATGGACAATAACATCGATTGTACATAGAAGGCAGCAGATAGTTTTAAAACGTATGTATATATCCATACAATATATAAATTATATGCTAATAATTTTCTTGCTACAATTATGAAAAGGGAAAAACTTTTAATTTACATTAAAAAAAATATGTTGGATTCTGCTACTGATTTTCCTGAATGGATATCACCTTTGAATTTTTAGATAGCATTTGCATATAGGTATACCTATATTGTCGGGATCATAGTTTATTAACAATAATGTTTTACATTTCGCCTCTTACAAATTTTCAATTTAAAAAAATTGAAGATCAGCATTTTCTTAATAAAAACTTCTTTAAAAAATCTTTCTTTTAGACCTGTCAATATTTTTATATATCTACAACTAAGAGCAATAAAAAATTCTGATTGTTTTTTATTTTTTTCTAAATTAATGCAATTTAAAAAATGTTTAATACTCGAGATTTTCCTTATAACTAGTTTCTAACAATAAGTCAAGATGGAGCATTCAAACCAGATACACTTTTAATATTCATACTTGAATCTTATTTTAATCAAAACACTCTAACAAATGCGTTAGTTTTATTAAGAAAAGGTAATAAATAAACTGAGTTTCATCATTGTTAGTTACACTATTAGTACACTACATATTTATTTAGCAACTCTATTTGGTCGTCAGAGGAACCTTCCCTTAATGCAAGTCTAATTGCTAAGAGTGAAAGGAGAACACGCATTTTCGGTTCTAATGTGCTATTTGCACAAATGATATGCCGACTGACATACTAATCCGATCGCGATGCGGCGAAAGTAAATAAAGCACACAGTGAAAACCCCTTTCGCTCTTATATCGTTCTAGGTACAATACATAACAACTTTTCGTCAACGCACGGTACATCGCAGCAGGTGATCTCACGGATTTCGTTTCAGTGTGTCGCACCTCTTATGCGGTTGATAATCGCGGTTTTTATTTAGTGTTCTCTTTGTAAATGTGCCTGGCGTCCGAAATCTGGCGATTTCGCGTGAAAGTTCTCACAATTGTATAGTCGCTCGTACCACGGATTAAATCATAGTTACGATATATGAGCCGCTCAGTGGTTGAATCGATTAACTCCATTTTTCGAATTTTTTAACGTTTTATCGTCAAAGCGTTTCATTGGCTCTTACTTTGTATACTTAATATAGATTTCGTTATGACTGGATTTGGTACCACGAAACAATACAAAGTCTTTTGGTCATGGAAAAATTGTAATAATAATAAAAGTTACTTCCAGAATATTGTATTTTATGTAATTTACATATTTGTTAGATTGAAGCTGTAACTGCGATAACCAGTTAAGTGTGAAGTTTAGTTGGAAAAACCTCTGGTTCTGCGCGCAGTAAAATCGAAAAATGGAGCGTGTACTCGTTGAACGCAGGACGAATGCACGTAGAGTATATTTTAATGAAAGATCAAAGCGAAACAAAGAAGAATTACATGTTTATGTGAAAAAATAAAGAATTCATCGCTGAAAGAATTAGTATCACGTCAAGCTTTACGATAACGTGTATAATCGTCAAACACAGTTAACTGGTTAATAAAGTAAAATACATTCTACAATGTTGATTAGATTTTGCATTTAAAGGGAAATTTTAAAAATCAATATGTAACGATTGCATTACTTTTTTCTACTTTTTGTTTTGTAGGGATAAACGATTTGTCCAATGAGTGGCTCATATGTTGTTTCAGAATACGTGGGCACAACTTGATTGGTCTATTCAATATACCAAAGTAAAAAAAGACGTTCGTACAGATGTATGGACGATATGACCATATTTCTAAAATACAGCTAAACTTTTATCTTCCCATAATTTTTTCAATGAACTGAGTTCTTCGTTCAACTCTCTATAAATAACGTTCGATATATCCTGTACAATATTTTAAACATTCTAAAACGGTTTGTATTGTGTAAACATTCCCTTGTAACTTTTTATAATATTAATAATGATTGTCTGTGTTATATAAATGCTGAAACTGTAGTTTCATGCACCTAATGCATATTCTTACTGAATATCATTCTTATGATAGCAGGTAAATATTAATACAAGAAACAAGGTCGTACCTCGGGAACAAGGTAATATCGGGCATATGTTTATATGAAACTTTTTTCTTTCCGAACACACCAGTGAAGTTGTACCCATATATTTTGAAGTATTCTATACTATTATTAGAAATATTTGAATAATACAACGTACATCATGTTGAGTTGACGAAGTATTCGTCATTTCCACAATGGCTATCGATATACATACTCGAAGGCAGTATCCGATAACATTTGCCAGAAACCAAAAAGAGGCCTGTGCATGACGTACTCCAAATCCACCTAAAATAGAAAAAGTGTTTGTTACCAAATTACATAATTGTTAAATAAAAATAAACTTTTGTCACTAATAATAACTGTCTTTATAAATATTTTCGTTAAATTTCATAGAAGTGATAACGGTTATTAATAAATAAAAGTATTTGAAGCACAGAATTATTTAATCACTCTCACATATTTGATCATAATCGGAGAACAAAGCAAAAATGTGGTAACAAGAAATTCTAGAAGCTGAATGATGTTTTGTAGCAATTAAGATAATTTGCAATTAATCCATTATTTTCTTTTTATCGGATTATAAGTAAATGCGGTGACAGTAATGTCATCAACAAAAGTTTGTTGTCCCTGGGATTCGGATGGGTTTCCAATTTCTTCAAATAATTTCTGCTGAATTTCTGTGATTTCTTCTTTTACAGTGTTTATGTCGAAATCATGATGGAGTATCTTGTTTCTGACATACCAATAAAAACTTTGTTCATGCTTGTCGAGTATCTATTTTCTTTACTGACAATAAATAGTGCACGTTAAGAACTATACATTATTAACTAATATTATTAACGTACTATATGCGTATAATATCGTATAATAATATACCAACTTCACACATAATTTGAAACAAAATTATTGGCATCGTTAATTAGCAGTATACTTGTCCTTCCAGTTACGTGGAGTAGCCATTCCACATTGAGTTCTCTTAAAGCGAATGAAAATCGCGTAAATAGAGTTTGTCGGTACAAAAGACAACAAAATATTGGGAAGAAAAGCTGGTATAAGTTATAGAGATACATATTTATTTCACATAACTCAACAAAAAAATAATAATAATGACATTTCAGAAAACAAAAGTAAATTTTATTTGGTGTCACTAAATTCAGATTGCGTATAAAAGGTACAGTTTACACAATGTTATCATCTACAGGTAAATAAGAAATTCATGTAAAGGTAGCGCCGCGTAATTGGAGAGACGAGTGTACACCAAAACCTATCCGATTTCTGATTTTTTTCTAATCTGACTCGAGAGAATTGGGCTACCCAAGTGCACGTATATATCTAAAATACACTCTGTGACAAAAAGATAGCATACTATACAAATAAGATGTTTTTGATTTTTAAAACTATGTATTGAATTACGTTTGATATTTATACTGTTTAATAAGAATAACAAATTATTTTAATGTATTTAAACGGATTAATTGTAGGAAGAAAAAACATTTATTCTATAATATACACTGGAAAGTGAAAAACTAGTCCATCAAAAAGCTAGCACATTCTTCTTAAACCACTTAATATATAAAAGAAACTATTATTTTGATATTTTACAGCTTCTCCTTTTGTTTGCATGACTGACAGTAAACGTGTTGGAACAGATTTAAATAACTTTTTAACTAATTTTTTCGCTCGATACAGGTTTTTTAATTCTTGAACGATACAAAACAGTTTTCACGCAGTATATACTAATCTCGTTAACTATGCCCAACAATTTTCGATGATGTTCAAGTCAGGTGACCTAGTCGACCAGTCTAAAATTTAAATATTCTGTTATCTAAAGTATTCTTGTACACACTTTGCTTTATTGACACTCGTACTGTCCAGTAGAAAAATAAAGTTTGCCCTGTAATTCTTACTGCGTGATTCTTTAACTGTTCGCCTATTAAATTAATATAATCAGGACTTAATTTTCCCATTTCGAAGCTTAATTTCATTGCTACGTAACATCCAATTGCAGCGTACACCATTATTCCTCCACGACCTGCTTATAGACGACTTAAAATCTGTTTCTTTACGAAAATAATATTGATACCCATCTGGTCCATCAAACGTAAATCTCTTTTCATCGGTGAAAACGACTCTTCGCAAATTCTTTTTCCAATGAATATATTTTTCTGCAAATTGTAATCGACCCTATTCGTGCAACTTCGTCAGTGGTGGTTTACGCATAAGTTTTCGGCGTTTTACGTATTTACATTTTTTTTACAACACGCTGTGCATTACGGATAATAGTGTCTACACCAGCATCTGCTGCAATTTCTTTTGCAGTCGTTACTGAATCCGATGCAGCTCTTAAAATTGCACGTCGTGGACGATCAGTGACTGCTTTTGGACGACCTGTACTGCACCTTTTTCAATAATTCTCCATACTTCTTAAAAAATTACAAATACGCTTACGCCAACGATTTACTATTATCGTAATTTTATTAATAAAAAAATGTTCTTTACGCAAATCCTGAATTGTTGCTATATCACAATCACTCAGTCTTTTACCGCGACCCATTGTATAATGAACTATATACTTTTACAAAATATCACTTTTGAAGTACGCACAGTGTCATATACTTGCTGGTGTAAACAGTTTTACGACTGTCTAGCAACTGAAACAGGAAAACTTTGAAGATGTATTATCATTTTGACGTAGCGATCAGTACAGTCCTGTTCTCATGGAGTGAGACAAAACTATAGAGAATTTTGTTTCCTATCGTTACGTCTCACTTCATCGCATTCTGTCTCGCTTCCGTCCTTTGTTACTGCCGCGCGCCAATAATGACCATGCATCGAAAGCCAAGGCTGCCCGAGCACCGCGAATGGAAGAGTCCTCTTGCCCCTGTGCACTTTTAAACCTATGGTCGCCTTGCCTGATGCGAGAACAGAACTGTATAACGTTTTCAGCTTTAAACCCATAGGCACAACAGAGGTGTTTGCCTTGAACACCTGCAACGTATTGCTAACTGAAAAGCGACGCATAGAACAAGAACTTTTACTATTCAATTATGTTTGCAAAAATTAACAAAATTATACGGTACGCTATCTTTTTGTCGCGGAGTGTACATATGTATGTATCGGACACCCAGCCGAGCTCGCTTGACTTTTTCCGGGTCAGACCTGACTTGATATTGTTAAAGGTTGAGGAAATCTTAACTGCGAAAGTCAAGTACACTCTATATAAATATAACGTTTATTTTCTTTGTGGTACTGTTTTATGCACATAAACATTCCAATGCAATTGCACTAAATAAAAAGACGGAATCATGAAAGCCATGCCACCACACGATGGATAGCAGCGTGAACCAAGTTTCTTTGGTTTCCTTTATTTTTCTTGACAGGTAAATACAGCCGGTACCCGCTCACATACATTAAGAACAATTGAGTAATTACGAAAGGAAGCGTGGTGTTAAAAAAGGAAGTCTTTAAAAAGTCACGGAACACGGCAAACAAAACAATTTGTGCAATTTTTTATTATTTTACTTTTCGTTATTAAATCGTCGTTTATATAAGTAATCGTGCGATTATTTCGGAAAACTCTGATAGTCCCATTCTACAATTCAAGAAATTAACACTGAAGCTACCGAGCAGTTAAATCACTTCTTGAAATCCCCCCATAGAAACTTCAAGAGTGAGACTTTAATTGATTTACAATTCAGTTTGTGCATTGCTAAATCGATTTCTTTAATCATTTCTCAGAGTAACATCTGTTGTCTTCTTAATAATTGCAAAATGAAGACATCAGGAATGGGTCATTTTGACCGGTCTGGTAGCTTTAGTGTTAATAGACGTGGGCGAGTACCCGAAAAGGTCGGAAATACGATAATTGGTTCGGATCGGGTTCTCGGAAAGGTTCGGGATTTCTGACATTATAGATAATAATCAGTGGAATGATATTAAACATAATAAATCATGGAATAATAAAATATAATAAAATATTATTCGTTGATCATTTTTATTTAATTTTCTATCCGTTATAAATTCAGAAATCTCGATCCGAACCCGATGTTTTTGGGTTTTCGCACATCCGTATAAACTAACCCAGATGGAGGGAACACTGATCATAATTGACGATAGCGGACAATGATAAATAGGAAATATAATGATGATGAGCACTACTGAATGCGCGAGCAAACGGAAAAAACAATGTGAGCTCTACGATGGATATATGAAAACGAATGCACTGTAGATAAGAATAACTCCAAACTGTTTAAGTACCATTAAAAACTAGGAAAAGGCTATGGGTGACGTTGGTTGCCGTCGTAGAAATATAACTGGTTAGTTGACTTTCAAGGATGCGGATTCGACTTCCATTGGTTGAGTCTCTTCTTTCTTAAAATCCTACATTTAATAACATTGCTCGGTATTTTAACTTCTCTTTTATGTAGGAAGTGAGAACGGTTCTGCTTAATCAACTGCATATCTTTAAAAACGTTAAAATGGTTTTATAAATATTCTCAAATGCAACATTATGAACATTTAAGCATGATCTTCTAATCATTCAATCGTGCGGCGCATCTCAAATGCAGTTACATTTGTAAATATTTTACAATTCATACTTAACCGTTTGAGTCCCAGGGGTTTTTGCAAAAATTTGATAGAAAAATGCCGAGCGGCGCGATCGTGCTTCCTTCTTTTCAATTTAGAAACTGAATGACGCTTTTCTGTTTTTACAAAAACAGATCTTCAATAGTGCGATCGCTAAATTTTTGCAGTCTTGGGCGGGCAATAACAAAAATAAAAATGAATAATTAGAAGGAAAAGAAATAAATAAGCTTCGTCTGATTCTACGAGCCGATAGACTGGCACTTTTAGACAATGTAGCAGAGAAGCGCCATTGCGCCGCTTGGGACTCAAACGGTCAAAACTAGAGCTCTGGTACCTACAAATCTGATTACGTTCAATTTTGTTGTTTTAAATGATCTTTCGCTATAAATGGCTCAGTACTTTTGTATAAGAAATGATGAGTTGCATCGATTAATGTATAACAAAATACATGATTCCACTCAACAAGAAAGTT